TAGTTTGCTGTCTGGCGCCCTCTGCTGGTTTGTTTGTCAGTTTACTAAGATTCTGTCTCATTTCTTTTTCATTCTTTCATTAAAACATAAAAACTTTATCTGTGATGAAAAGTTTTGACACCTTTGATGTCTGACTTTTCATTTCTGGATGTTTTTTGTCTCCTGCAGTCAGTTTTGACCTGCGAGCAGCGTGAAGTCAGCAGTAATGAAACAGACACAGAAAGGAACAACACCGTCTGACTTTCAAAATAAAAGCTAATGGTGGTCGTTTTTAAAACACTTTTTTAAAAATTAAAATCTAGTTTGATATTTTTCATTCTGGTGGAAAGGAAACTATGAAACAGACACCAGAAGTCCAATAATCATGTTTCATGTGCACCATATACTCCCTTATAACTGCTATATATTCTTTTATTATCGATTCTGTGTAACAGGTTTAAGCTGCAGCTAAAGACGATTTTCATTCACGTTGGATCTGATAGTTGTTTTAATGATGCAGCGATTTTTAGAAAGAAGTTTATAAATAGTGAGAAATGCCAGTTTGATGACAAATGTTCGTCTTTAACGTTTTGTTTCCTCGTCGTTGAATTAATGAGTTCCTCTTCTGGACAACAGAGAATCCAATCTGGACATCTGAGGCTGAAAAACATGAAACTAGACACTCATGCATTTATGAGAAGAGCTGCTGATTCATTTCTTTCAGTGTTGCTGCAGATAAACTTGAACATTATTTCTTCTCGCTCGCTGATTTTTCTTCGGTTCATCTTCTGCTTGAAGAGAAAAGTCGGTAAATCCAAAACCAGAGGCTCCTCAGTGACCAGACGTTAAATATCTCAGTTCATTAGTTTAGTCATTAAAAAGTGTTTCACAGGCAAACTGACTGAATACGATCCAAAACCAGCTGAATTCAGTCCACACAGGTCATAGAGAGTAAATAAAACATTTACTGACCTACAGCCAGGACGACAGCTTGGATATGAAAATGAAGAAACTTAAAAATGAGCTTTATTATTTATGCATCACAGAAACCATCATAATTTTGAGTTAAAGCCACATTTAGGTGGAACTTTACCAACATTATGCTCACACACACACACACACACACACATGTGGAGATAAAACCAGAGAAACTAGAAGCTGCCTGCAGGTGATTATGAACCGAGTCAACGCTCCTATTACGGACGAATGAATAAATAATAAGTCTGAATATAAAAGTAGTGAATATTGTTGCTATTATTTAGATTTAGACATAGAAGCGACAGGATTTTGAGTTACAGTCACGTTTCTTGAATCAACGAGCTGGTTTTCCTTCAGGGTCTCTTATTGTGAAGGCGCAGCGGCAGGAAGCAGCAGCAGCCGCTCGGCTCCAGCTTGACGCAGTCTGCGGAGCCGCACAGCTGCTGCCGCACTCGGAGCGACTCGGACTCAGTGACTCACTTTGGATTTTTGGGGTTTGGAGGAGAACCGCGGGGAGCAGAGCGGCAGGAGGAGCCGGACAGCGGAGCTCACGGTCGGCTTGGATCGGCGGAATGGCGGACCGGGACCCGGTACCGCTGCCTGCGGAGGTTCGGACCAAACTGGCCGAGCTGGAGCTGGAGTTGTCCGAGGGTGAGTCCCGATCCGCGGCGACGCTCAGCGGCGTCAGCTGCTGCTGCTGCTGCTGCTGCTCGGTCCGGAGTTTAGAAAGTCACAAGTTCAAGTGCTGGATGTGAACGAACACACACACACACACACACACACACACACACACACACACACACACACACACCTACACACACACACACACACACACACACACACACACACACACACACACACTGTAACACACTCTCTGTGTTGTGGATGCANGTACTGATGAAGTTCTGAGGCTCAGAAATGATGGAAAAAGTCCATTAAAGTGATCAATCTGGACCCTCCTCTGTGGACTTCAAGGACCTGAACCTCTGGAACATTCACAGTCTGAAGGTAGAACTCTGGTCAGTAGATAGAGGTGCTGCAGGATCAGAACCAGATGTTCTGACTGACTTTTCACTGAATGACTAAAGTGAAAGTTTGTTCTCGTCTTCGTTTCAGAAGAATCTCTTTTAAGGAAGTCAGTTTTATTTTGAAACCATCCAGTTCTATGTAAATGTGATAAATCAGAGACTTCATGGTGTCTGAGGTTTACAGTCTGAACACTGTGTGGACGAAATCTGACGATGTTTCCGTTCGTCAGAGATCCTGAACACAAAACCAGAACCACTGATTCTCCCAGTTCAGACTGAACCGAGCTGCAGCGGCCACCAGGTGGCAGCGCGTCCACAGGAATCAGCTGATGAGGACGTGTTACTCCGGCTTTAATCTAAACGGCTGCGGTGCTTTTCTTCTCCAACATCCCAGAATCCTTCAGAACCAGCTCGGCTCTTCAAAGGCCAAATTATTCAGTGTTCAAGGTTTTCTTGTTTCGCCGTATTTCTGAGCAAATTATCGACCTCGTTCAGCTGTTGTATGTCTCTCATGTTTGGGCTGCTTCCTCCGTCGTACAACGTTCATGTCGTCTCCATGGAGCTCCGAGGAGACGTCGACACAATTTAAATGTATATATTTACTCTGCTAGTGAATAAAATGTGAATCCTGAAGGACCTGTTGTCTTCTTTTTTCTGCTGTTTCTAGAAACCACAATAAAGTCACAACACAACCAAAACCAGACACACAAAGACGAACATGAGACACATGAACGGACGCTAAAGAAGAAAAACACAAAGATGAAACGATTACAAGGAGACAAAACTCGCCAAGAGACAACAGAAATAAACACAAATTGAGAAAATGATGCACAGAACAACAACAACGAGGAACTAAACGACAATAAACAGGAAAAGCAGCGACTGAAGGGAGACAAAGAAACGAGCAACATGAGCCAAACGTGAGCGATGAAGCCGAAGAGACACAACGAGACGACAACAGAAGAAACGACACAAAGACGGAACGGAGACGGAAACGAGACGAAGCTACAAATATGACAAACCAGAGACTACAAAGAGACACGAAACAAACACCTGTAGAGCCACAAACCTGCGACTCTGCACATCCAGAACCAACACCTAGAACCCACATCCAGAACCAACACCTAGAACCCACATCCAGAACCAACCAACATCTAGAACCAACACCTAGAACCCACATCCAGAACCAACACCTAGAACCCGCATCCAGAACCAGCATCCAGAACCAACACCTAGAACCAACAGCTAGGACCAACACCTAGAACAAACATCCAGAACCAACATCCAGAACCAGCATCTTGAACCCATGAACTCCAGGTTCTGGTTCCTACCAATGATCAACGTTTAGTCAAAACATGGAAAACCAGAACCTCGTCTGGTCCAACTTCACCACATCAGGTTCTACTGACGCTAGAGCCTGAACAGGTGGTGAAATGTGACCAGAGACTGGATTCTAGTAGAACCATGGATCCATCCATAGACAGACACTGACAGGAACTTTCTGGATCAGCACCAGCCTGGTTGGAGGTTTGGTGGAGTTCTCCCCCAGATAGATGGATAGAT